CGAGCCCCCGGTCTGGTGCTCACTCGCGGCCGCCCCTTTCCCGCAGCCGGCCCTGCTGAGGACGCCTGCCTTGCGGAGTACTGCCACCCTCGCCCAGGCCCTGCAGAGCATCCCGGAGACGCAGGTCAGCCAGCTGGACAACGGGCTGCGTGTGGCCTCGGAGCAGTCCTCCCAGCCTACCTGCACGGTGAGCGGGGCCCCGGGAGGGGCCGCCAGACCCGGCCTGCCGTCTCCTCCCAGGTCGGGGGTGACCTTGGGCTCGAGTCCTCCAGTCGGTTTGGTTCGGACTCTTCCGGATTGACCCCATTCCCGTCCCCAGCCCTGTCCTGTCTTCGTGGCCAACGTTCATGAATTCGTATATGATGCCTGCCGAGCAGGGACCAAGTTCTTCTTCAGTTTTTGCTAAGCGACCCCTCATGAGAGAACTGATAATATATCTGAAAATGAGGAAATTTAGAATGAGGAGAATGAAATTCGGAGACTTAACGTGCCTTGCAGGGGTCTAAGCCTGTCAGCCTCATAGCCTGAGGTCAGTGTCCAGGCTGGACCTGCAGCTGCGGGAGAAAAGCGATTGAGGATTACAGCGATGGTGGGCTCAGTCCCCCAGTCAAGCTGTGTGCAGCGGGTCCGGGTTTGTTCAAGATCCCAGCTGTGTGGAAGGCTGGAAGGCGTGGTGGTGTGAGACTGTTGAGAGTGCTGATTTCTCTCGGTCTCTCATGAAGGAAAGGAAAAGAGGGGCTGGCAGGTGGCGTGGTGGTTGAGTGCTGGACTCCCACGTGGCTGACTGGAGTTTGAGTTCCAGACCCCACGGCTTGCTCTCTCACTTTCCCTCTCTCACTTTTGCGCGCTCTCTCTCGCTCTGTCCCTTTCTGGTCAAATTAAAATAAATATAAATAAATAAAGTTAAATAAAATGATTCTCTTTAAGAAAAAGAAAGAACAAGAAACATTTTTTTTTAAAGAATTATTGGGGCCAGCAGCTGGCATGGTGGTTAAAGGCACTGGACTCGCACATGGCCAACTGCGGTTTGAGTACCAGAGCTGGGGCTTTGCTTTCTCACTTTTCCTTTCTCTCTCTCTGTCTCTGCCTGGTCAAATTAAAAAATAATATCAAATGGAAGTAAGTAAATACATAATTATTTTAAGAGAATTATCTTATTTAACCTTATTTATTTATTTTTGTTTGACCAGACAGGGACAGAGTTAGAAAGCAAGTCGCCAGGTCTGGGACTCGAACCTCGGTCGGCCATGTGGGAGTCTGGTGCCCTTAGGCCCTAAGAAAAAGAAACTTAATGAAAGTCTTAGATAGTATCTGCCAGTGTAAGGCTGTTTGATCTGTCATCAGTGGTCTCGGACACCGCAGTGTCTGCCAGCACACGCTCCTTCTCTTTGGATGTTCACGTTATGATGGCTTCCTGCTTTCAGCCCAGCGACAGACCTCTAGTGGCTTAAAAACCACTTCAGCCCTCATAGAATTGAAGACAGTCAAGTCCTTGTTTTTTTTTGTTTTTTTTTTTTAATTAATTTTTTTTTATTGAGAGGTTTTCACTATAGGGTGTGTGTGCTCGCCAGGGAGACAGAGAGGCAGAAAGCGAGAAATCACCCTCGTGGGGATGGCCACACTGCAATCCCTTCTTCTCCATTCTCCTCTTGGGATCTACATGCACACGAGCCCAGCAGGAGTTGAAGACACCAGGTCCGGGACTTGAACTGTGATTGACTACATGGGAGTCTAGTGACGTAACCATTACACATCTGCTGGTCCAGTCCTTGTTCTTGATACAACTTTGGCTAAAGAGAACGCTGTGGCTACTTTGACCTTCTGTCCAGATCACGGAAACTTTCTCCATGTTGACAGCGAGCCTGTCTCACTCTCTCTTCCTTCGTGTGCTCACTGGACTTGTGCTTTGGTTTTTTTGTAGAGGTTTTTGCCTTAAGGTGTGTGTGCTTGCCAGAGAGAGACAGAGACTGAGAGGGAAAGTGAGAAATCCCCCCGAGGGATAGCCACACTGCAGTCCCTTCTCCTCCATTCTCTCCCGGGATCTTGGGCACGCACACACACGCACCTGGAGTGAGTTTCAACCCTCCGGGTCCAGGACTGAAACCATGATTGGCCACGTGGGAGTCCAGTGACTTAACCACTGTGCCATTTGCTGGCCCCTCTAATGATACCTCGTGCATGAGAGTGAGAGCCAGCACCCTGACGGCCCCTTGCCACACTGTGCTCCTCCTTTCCCAGCCCTCCAGCTCCTTAGGATCTTGGTGCCTACACACATACAGCAGCGTGTTTTGAGCCAACCTGGGATCCAAACTCACAGTCAAACCTGGGGCGTCCAGCACTGAAGTCTCGCACGCTGGGAAGGCTGGCCTTCCTTCGGAAATGTTCCCCTCACATCGACAGCCTGGCCGACTGTGGCACAGGGCCCTGGGGTTCAGCCTCTTGGCTTTCAACCTGCCTTCCTTACTAAGCTCATTTATTTGCTATCTTTTAATTTAAAGTGAGAGAAGTGTAGGGACCAGCAGATGGCATAATGGCTATGTCACTGGACTCCCACATAGTCGACCACGGTTCACGTCCTAGACCTGGTGGATTAAACTCATGCCATGCATGTGAGCGTGCGTGCCTAAGATCTCAAGAGGAGAATGGAGAAGGGATTGCGGCGTGGCCATCCCCCCAGGGGGTGATTTCTCGCTTTCTGTCTCTCTGTCTGTCTGGCAATCACACACACCCTATAGTGAAAACCTCTAAAAAATAATAAATAAATAAAGTGAGAGAAGTGTTACAGTCTTACTCATTTGATCACTTAAGAGACCATAGTAAGCTTATTGGAACCAGCAGGTGACCTGGTGGTTAAGGTACTGGACTCCTACATGGCCAACTGTGGTTTGAGTCCTGGAGCAGGTTGCTTGCTTTCTCTCTCTTTTTTTGAAAGAATTATTTTATTTAACTTTATTTAATTGGACCAGAGAGGGCGAGAGTCAGAGATAGAGACAGAGAGAGAGTATGAAAGCACTTGAACTGTAGTTGGCCGTGTGGGAGTCCAGCGCCCTGAACCACCTCGCCATCTGCCAACCCTGCTTTCTCTCTCTCACTTTGCCTCCGTCTCCCTCTTTCTTTCCTCTTCGGTGAGCACACATGCACCACAGGGAACTTTAAAATAATAGTAATAAACTGAATGTTAATAAAAAAACCTCAGGCTGGGCATGTGTGTGTGTGTGTGCCCAAGGTCTGAGGCCACCCCCCTGGGGGTTATTTCTCACTTTCCCTCTCACCGTGTGAGCAAATGCACTCTGAGGCAATAACCTCTGGGGGGATGTGCAGGTCACAGGTGTCCCTGGATGTCCTCGACAGCCACAGGAGGCAGGCCCGGAATGCGAGGGGAAGCAGTGTGACTGGCCGTTCAGCCGGTCCTTGTGCCCCAGGCACAGCTGCACCTGCAAGCACAGGGTCCCTCTGGGCTGCTGTCCCTTTCTCTGGACCCTGAGCCCTGCCTGGTTGCGAGTGAGGGCTGGGGTGGTTGATCAGTTTTGTTGGGGCTTCTTTTCCAGGTTGGGGTTTGGATCGATGTTGGCAGCCGCTATGAGACCGAGAAGAACAACGGGGCAGGGTACTTCCTGGAGCATTTGGCTTTCAAGGTGAGGCTCTCAGAGTCTGTGTGTCCTTGGGCACAGTGCTGCCCACTGTCCTTCCTGAAGCTGAAGGTCCGAAAAGGTAGGCTCTCGGACCAGCAGTTGGCATAATGGCTGTGTAGCTGGGCTCCCACGTAGTCAACCATGGTTTGAGTCCTGGACCTGGTGGCTCATGCCGGGCCCAAGATCCTGAGAGGAGAACAGAGGAGAAGGGATTGCGGTGTGGCCGTCCCCCCTGGGAGGTGATTTCTCACTTTCTATCTCTCTGTCTCTGTCTTTCTGGCGAGCGCACGTGCCCTATAACAAGAAAAGAAAGAAGGAAAAAAGAAAAGGCAGGCTTTGGTCACGGGCAGTGGTGTTGGGGGCGATCACTGACTGGTCGTTCTGGAGGAGTGAGCGCTTGTCTGCCGAGCCCCTGCACAAGGCGTCCAGGGGGCTGTGGGGCCCCCCTCCTACTGGAGAGGCCAGGCCTGTGTGGGGGCGTGTGTACAGGTAGGCTGGACAGGCACACATCAGCACGCACGTACAGTGTGAGAAAGCCTCGGGTGTGGGCACAGGCTTGCCTCCCCCGCCTCTGCGCCGGTGGAAAATCTGGGCATCTCTGGGTGTAGGGTAGAAAACCATGTTTGTTTGTTTGTTTCTTTAATAAGGAATTATTTATTTAACTTTATTCATTCATTTATTTTTAATTTGATCAGAGAGAGATAGAAAGCGAGAAAGCAAGCCACCAGGTCTGAGACTTGAACTGTGGTCGGCCATGTGGGAGTGTCCAGTGCCTTAACCACTATGTCACCCCCTGGTCCCCTGAAAACCATGTTTCTTAAATGTATGGAAAAAATGGAGGGAACCAGCAGATTACATCTCTGGATTCCCACATAGTCAACTGCCGTTGGAGTCCCGGAGCTGGAGACTTAAAACTCATGCCGGGTGAGGGATCAGCAGTTAGCGTAATGGCTATGTTGCTGGACTCCCATGTAGCCAATTGCGGTTCGAGTCCTGGACCTGGTGGCTTAAACTCACGCCGGGCACGTGTGCGTGTGTGCCCAAGGTCCCGAGAGCAAAATGGAAGAGAAGGGAATTCGGCGTGGCCATCCTCTTCTGGGGGTGACTTCTCCCTTTCTGTCTCTCTGTCTCTGTCTTTCTTTTTTTTTTTTTTTTGTTTTGTTTTTTTTGAGAGAGATTTTTGCTATAGAGTGTGTGTTCTTCCCAGAGAGACAGAGAGAGAGACAGAGGAGAGACAGAAAGCAAGAAATCACCCCATCCCAGGGGGGATTGCCATACCACAATTCCTTCTCCTCCATTCTCCTCTCAGAGATGCCACATGAACCTGGCATGGAGTTTCAAGATGCCAGGTCTGGGACTCAAGCCATGGTCTGCCATGTGGGAGTCCAGTGAGGTAACCATTATGCTGTCTGCTGGTCCTTCCCCTTTCAGGTGCATGTGCGTGCATGCCCAGAATCCTGAAAGAATGGAGAAGGGATTGCGGCGTGGCCATCCCCAGGGGAGGGGTCTCTCGCTTTGTGTCTCTCTGTATCTCCAGCGAAAACCTCTCAAAAGAAAGAAACGATATGGGATGGGCGGGGTGCAGGGCCAGGATGGCAGCCCAGACAGCTCCAGCGTCACAGCCGTGTGTGCACATGTTAACGTGTGTGTGAGTCTGCACGCCGTGAGGCGGCGTTGCTGCCCCACGCACACGAGACTCGAGTGGGCTCCCGTGGAGGTGGCCACCTGCTCGCAGTCATGAAGGATGGAGGGAGCGGGCCTCTCACTTGAACACAGGGGTGGCCTCGCCCGACTTGGCTATCAGTACAGGGGGGAGTACTAGGAAAGCCAGGCCCTGTGGCACACTCACTGTGCCCACCCCTCTCCTCGCCCTGGCTGTCCCCATTCTGTTGGCCTGTGACACTGTGGCCTTGCTCTGCTCAAAGCCTGCTTCGAGCTTGGTGAGCATTGACTGGGGACCAGTGTTCTGCTGGGCCTTTAGCCTGGTGAGGACAGGGTTCCCGACCTCCCTCGGGCCTGCTGATCGGACCTGTGCTGGTGTCCTGTCCAAGGGAACAAAGAATCGGCCTGGCAGTGCCCTGGAGAAGGAGGTGGAGAGCATGGGGGCCCACCTCAATGCCTACAGCACCCGGGAGCACACGGCATACTACATCAAGGCGCTGTCCAAGGACCTGCCGAAAGGTAGCACCTGGCGGAGGGGTGGCAACTGACAGGTAGGACTAGGAGGAGCCAAGGACAGGTTCCCAGGAGCCCCCATCCCGGCCCCGGGATTGAACCGTTAGGGTTTGGCCTCACAGCCGGGTGACCCAGGGCAGACAGCAGCAGGGGGTGCCAGGCCAGGGGCAGTGCTGCCGTTGGTCTCCAGGCATTTCTCGTCCCCAGCGGTGGAGCTCCTGGCTGACATCGTGCAGAACTGCAGCCTGGAGGACTCGCAGATCGAGAAGGAGCGGGACGTGATCCTGCGGGAGATGCAGGAGAATGACGCCTCTGTGCGCGACGTGGTCTTCGACTACCTGCACGCCACGGCCTTCCAGGGCACGCCTCTGGCCCAGCCCGTGGAAGGGCCCAGTGAGAACGTCAGGTGAGGGCAGGCTGGGGGCTGGTACTGCCTGTTCCTTTCTGAGTCTCCCGATGACGACGGGTCCCCTGTGCCTGTGTCGTCCCTTCTGCTAACGTCTGTGCAGTCTCCGCTCAGATTCTCTGGCAGTTGGGGGAGGGGGAGTCTGGTACCTTCCACGTGGCTCCATGTGCCCTGGGCTGATAGGCTTGAGAGTCTCTCCCTGACCCTGGAGAGCCCCACGGTGTCCCACGGTGTCCACTTGCACCCTCCCAGAGAGGCCTGCAGGCCTGTCTCAAGGTCAGACGTGAGCGGAGCCAGATGAGCACAGCCATGTGAGGGCCTGATCGCAGAGAAGCCAGGCCTGCCTCATTTTGCGCGGCCTCCCCTGCCTTGTTTTGCGCGGCCCAGCCGGCTGAGTCCCGGAGGGGTGGACTTGCTGGCCGTCTGTCTTGCAGGAGGCTCTCTCGTGTGGACCTGACCGAGTATCTGAACAGGCACTACAAGGCCCCGCGAATGGTGCTGGCAGCAGCCGGAGGTGAGCAACAGGCTTGTCGCAGCCCTGGACTGGTGGGCACCAGTTCTAGTCTGTCCTTGGGACACCTCCCAGTCCAGAGGACCCCATCATCACTGTGTCCTTGAAGGGAGCATCCTCTCCTGTGCTCTCCAGGGTGGGTCCCTCCCTGCCGCCTGCACTGGCACTGGCCATGCAGGGATGCTTGCCCTCCGGAGCAGACCTCAGTTGGGCTGCTGGCCCCATGTGGCCCAAGGATTCCCAGTTCTTAGGCTCAGGGGTCACTACTGGCCCCTGCCTGTTCCTGCCGGACAAGCCAGACACTGGCGTGTGGCTGGGCACGCCTGATGCCAGGCGGGAAGTGGCCTATGAGGAAGATGTGGTACATGCAGAGACTTTAAGAGGGGACTCTGATGGGAACCAGCAGTTAGCATAATGGCTATGTCGCTGGACTCCCACATAGTCAACCGCAGTTCGTGTCCCGGACCCGGTGGCTTAAAACTCACGCTGGGGGTGTGTGCGCGTGCATGCCCAAGATCCCGAGAGGAGAATGGAGGAGAAGGGATTGCGGCGTGACCATCTCCCCTGGGGGGTGATTTCTCGCTTTCTGTCTCTATGTCTCTCTCTGTCTGGCGAGCGCACGCGCCCTACAGTGAAAATCTCTCCAAAAAAAAAAAAAAAAAAGAGGGGACTCTGAGGCGTGTTTTAGTTTAGTTTCCCTCCCCCCAGGTTTTTAGGCTTTTGTCATAGAGTGTATTTGCTCGCTGGAGAGAAACAGAAGGAAAGAGAAATCACTCCCAGGGGAAGGCCACACCACAGTCCCTTCCCTTCCCTGTTCCTCTTAGAATTTCAGGCACATGTGCACACGTGCTCAGCGTGGGTTTTAAGCCGCTGGGCCCAGACTCAACTGTGGTCTGTTACATGGGAGTTAGCAACAAAACCATTATGCCATCTGCTGGTCCCTGTCATGTCACTTGTAATGTTCCTAACCACCCGGGGTCAGACGGATGACCAAGTGGTTACTGCGTTAAACACAAACGCCTGTAGGCTGGCCTATGGCCTGGCTGTTAAGGGAGCTGGATCCCACATGGCCAGCCCCCAGGAGCTTGAAAACCACTCCAGGCTCATGTGTGTGCATGCCCGAAGTTCCAAAAGAAGGGGTTGTGGCATGACTGTGCACTGCAGGGTGCACTGCCCTCACAGCTGTGCCGGCTTGTAAGTGAATGAAAGTACTTGAGACTGGGCAATTTGCAAAAACAGCAGTGTATTCGGCTTGCCGTTGCGTTGTCGGGAGAGTCCAGAGGCGTGGTGTGGGCCAGCACCAGGCTGGCCTCATGCCCAACACTGAATGGCCAGTAGAAGCGGGAAGAAGCACCAGAGGGGGCAGAGAAGTTCCCACTTCCTCTGCTTGTCCCTCCCACACCCCTGCTGGTGCTTGGTCCCTCTCAAAGCCCTTACCCCTCCTCCTAAAGGTCTCACCCCAATATTTGCACTGGGGACCAAGCTCCAGTACACGAGTCTTTGGGATATAGAACATTATCAAACCATAGGAGCCTGGCAGCCTGGCCCAGGGAGTATACTCTGAACCAGATGCGGGTGCTCCTACTGAGGTGAAAACATAACACATCACACTGTGGGGGTGAGCACCCGTACCGCCTCCCACCGCACCACATTGGAGCCCGGGCCCTGCTGGTGGTTACCCCCTGGCTGGCTGTCTTGCAGGGGTGGAGCACCGGCAGCTGCTCGACCTAGCCCAGAAGCACTTCAGCAGCGTCTCTGGGGCGTACACTGAGGACACCGTGCCCACACTGACTCCGTGCCGCTTCACTGGCAGCGAGGTACGCTCCCTGCTGGGCAGGGCCAGGGCTCTGGGCAGGAGTCTGCGGGAGACCCTCGTGGCCCCAGCTGGGGAGGGCCCTGTGGCTGCAGCCTCGCAGACGGGGTCGCTTGTGCACACTTCATCCGTGCCCAGTCCCTTGCCAGTCCTCAGCCCTGTCACATGCTGTTCCAGATCCGCCACCGCGACGATGCCCTGCCTCTGGCCCATGTGGCCATTGCAGTGGAGGGGCCCGGCTGGGCCAACCCAGACAACGTGACCCTCCAGGTGGCCAATGCCATCCTCGGCCACTACGACTGCACATACGGCGGTGGCATGGTGAGTGTCGGGAGCCGGCACGGGCTCTGCGCCATGCCGTGGGCTGCGGACGAGGGGGTGCTCAACACCTTTCCCTGGCAGCACCTGTCCAGCCCGCTGGCGTCCGTTGCCGTGGCCAACAAGCTGTGCCAGAGCTTCCAGACCTTCAACATCTGCTATGCGGAGACCGGGCTGCTGGGCGCACACTTCGTCTGCGACCGCATGAGCATCGACGACATGATATTCTTCCTGCAAGGGCAATGGTGAGTGGCCTGCTGCGGCGGGGGCAGGCTGCTGGCCAGGGCGCGGTGGCAGGAGGCAGCTCACGGGCTCTTGGAGTGAGCACCGCACGTCCCCCTCCCGCCCCAGGATGCGCCTGTGCACCAGTGCCACGGAGAGCGAGGTGGTCCGGGGCAAGAACATCCTCAGAAACGCCCTGGTGGCTCACCTGGATGGTGAGTCCTGCAGCCCCGTGGGCTCGGGGAGGGCGTATCCTTCCAGGACAGTGGTGGTCCCCACGTGGCCCCCATTCCTACCAGGGTAGAAGAGAATGCTGAAGGTCACCGTTCCTTACCACCCTGCCGCAGGGTTTAGAGCTTGTGGCAGGCGGAGCTGGGCCAGGTCAGCAGCCCTCCCTGCAGGACAGCGTGCAGGAGAGAGCTGTGGTCTGTCGGGGCGAGGTCATGGAGGCCTTTGGCCTGAGGCCAGAGGTCACGTGTGTACTGAGTTCTGGACTAGATGGCGACCTCTCAGCCTCCCGCCCTCCCAGGCACCACTCCCGTGTGTGAGGACATCGGACGCAGCCTCCTGACCTACGGCCGCCGCATCCCGCTGGCCGAGTGGGAGAGCCGGATTGCGGTAACGGGCGTGGGGAGAGGTCCTGGGGGCTTGGCCTGGTGGTCCCCTGGGGGTGGGAGTGGTGGTGGCTGAGTGGCAATGACACGTGTGTCCTAGGCAGCTGTCACCGCAGGGGTAGTGTTGGAGGCTGTGGCATGGCTGGGTTCAAAGGTCCCTGGCCCCTGGCCGACCTAGAGCCCTGCTCCCTTGCGGACTGGCCGGGGCACCCCAGTGCCTGTCGTCAGTGCACCCTCTGCTTCCCGCAGGAGGTGGACGCCAGTGCAGTGCGCGAGGTCTGCTCCAAGTACTTCTACGACCAGTGTCCGGCAGTGGCCGGGCTGGGTGAGTGTCCTGCTGGCCCACACGGGTCTTCTCCTCGGCCACCACCCCGCCCAGGCACACTAAGAGCGGTGGGGCCCCAGGAAGCACTCGCTGTAGCCTGGCTGCCAGGGAGCGCCTGCTCCGAAAACCTGTCTCGGCAGCTCCCTGACGTGCTGCCAAGGTGCCTCCATCCATACCCCACGCCCGGCGGGAACGGGCACCTCGGCGCGGGGGGC